TTTCTTCCACATTCTCCTTGTAGTGATGTTTTTATTTATTTTTATTTTCATTTTCTTTTACATTTTTTTATTAAATTATTATCTGTGTACATATTTTAACATTGCCCCCCCCCCTCCCATACATACCCTCTCTCCCCAGAGTTTTATGTCCATTGGTTGTACTTATATGCATGTATACAAGTCCTTCGGTTGATCTATTATCTCCCCCAGATCTCCCTACCCTCCCTGCTGTAATTTGACAGTCTGCCTGTTGTTTTACTGTCTCTATATCTATCTTTTGGTTCATCAGTTTATAATGTTCTTTATTATCCATAAATGAGTGAGGTCATGTGGTGTTTTTCTTTCATTGACTGGCTTATTTCACTCAGCATTATGTTCTCCAATTCCATCCAAGTTGCTGCAAATGATGAGAATTCCTTCTTTTTTTATGGCAGCATAGTATTCCATTGTGTAGATGTACCATAGTTTTTTGATCCAATCATCTGGACAAGTTTCTTATTAAGAAGATGAGAATATAATCAGCCCTGGCCAGTGTGACTCAGTTGGTTGAGTATCGTCCCATACACTGAAGGGATGCTGGTTCCATTTCTGTTCAGGACACATGGCCAGGTTGCAGGCTTAATTCCCAGTGAGGGGCATGCAAGAGACAACCAATTGATGTTTGTTTTTTTAATTAATTAATTAATTAATTTTAAATCTTTATTGTTGAAAGTATTACATATGTTCCCTCCAATTGATGTTTTTTTAAATACATTTTATTGATTTTTTTTACAGAGAGGAAGAGAGAGGGACAGACAGAAACATTGATGAGAGAGAAACATCAATCAACCGCCTCCTGCACACCCCCCACCAGGGATGTGCCCGCAACCAAGGAACATGCCCCCAACTAGAATTGAACCAGAGACCCCTCAGTCCGCAGGCCAATGCTCTATCCACTGAGCCAAACCGGTTTTGGCTCCAATTGATGTTTTGCTCTCACACTGATGTTTCTCTCGCTCCCTCTTCCTCTCCCCTCCTCTCTCTCTAAATATCAATTTAAAAAAAGAATATAATCAAGTAAGTGTGTAAGGATTTAAGAACATCAATATTAGAAACAGGCTAAATAACCAATAATTGAAGTATGTTAAATAAATTATGTTACAGCTACCCAAATGGAAATCTATGGGGCCATTAAAAATCACATAATAAAAGAATATTTAATGCACAGAAATGTTTACATATATTGTTCAACAATATATATATGGCACAGCCACAGTTTTGTTTTAAAAATTAGATGATTGGGAAAGAAAGATGTATATCAAAATATTTTTCTGAGTAGTAACCATTCTTTTTATTTACCTGCATTTTCTCAATTTTCTATAACACAAAGAAGTATTACTTTCCAAAGAGAAGAATAATAAAAATTTTGGTTTAAAAAATAGGAAAATAGCCCTGCTAGTTTGGCTCAGTGGTTGGAGTGCTGGCCTGCAGACCAAAGGGTAATGATTCAATTCCTGGTCAAGGGTTCAGGATTGATCATGGGCCCTGGTAGGGGCATGTGTGGGAAACAACGAATCAATGTATCTCTCTCACATAGATGTTTCTCTCTCTCTCTCTCCCCACTACCTTTCCATTCTATCTGAAAGCAATGGAAAAAATAGCATTGGATGAGAATCCAAAGAAAAAAGGGGGGAGGGAGGGGAAGGAAATATATTTGCATTACTTCTGCTTTTTACCAAATCACTGCTTTATATTTAGCTTACATTATCATTATTAATGGCTACATTTATTGCAAACTGCTCATCAACCAAAGTCAATACATGTACTGCCTCTAATCCTCACAACAGTTCTCTAAAGAAAGTATCATTGTTAGTCATTGTTAGCAAATGAGAAAATTGAGACCAGAGATTAAGGTGTACCAGTTAATAATGTGGATTTTTTTTTCAATAAATGGAGTTACATATATGTTGATATATGTGCTATTTGATATGTATACTATATTGTTGTATTGACAACAAGCTTCAAAACTTCATATGTCAAATTTTGTGAAGGTGTTAACATAATAGGTATTTTTACGCTTAAAAATGTCAAATTTTGTGCCGAAAAAGCATTTGCAGGAAGTTTTATTCATTATTTTGAAGAAAAGTGCTGCTAAAAGTTATCATATACTTCGGGAAGCTTATGGTGAACATGCTCCATCTCAAGATACTTGTGAATGCTGGTTTAAAATGCTTTAAAGGTGATGATTTCAATATGAAAGACAAAGAACTTCTAGGTCAATCGAAAAAGTTTGAAGACCAACAATTACATGCATTATTGGATGAAGATGCATGTCAAACTCAAAAACAACTTGCAAAGAGTTTAAATGTTATTCAATTTAAACAATTTCCAATCATTTACAAGCAATGGGAAGATTTTAAAGGAAGGAAAATGGGTGCCACATCAACTGAATGAAAGACAAATGGAAAACCGAAAAGTCATAAATAAAATGTTGCTTCAACGGCATGGAAGTCTTTTTTGCATTGAATTGTGACTGGCAAAGAAAATTGGATTTATTTTGAGAATCTCAAATGCACCAAATCATGGTTTGATCCAGGTCAACCATCAACATCAACTGCAAGGCCAAATCATTTCGGAAAAAAGACAATGCTCTGCGTTTTGTGGGATCAGGAAGGTGTGGTTATTATGAGCTTCTAAAACCAGGTGAACCATTAATATTGATTGCTACTGACAACAAATAATAAATTTGAACCACTCTGATAGTGAAACAACCAGAATGTTCCAGAAGACAGGATAAAATAATTTTGGTTCATGATAACGCACCATCACACACTTCAAAACCAGTTAAAGACACCTTAAAAGATCTTGCCTGGGAAGTATTAACCCACCCACTGTATTCACCAGACCTTGTTCTTTCAGGTTACCACTTGTTCCCATCTATGGCACACGCAATTTCTGAGCAGAACTTCAAAACATATGAAAAAGTGGAAAATTGGGTATCTACATGGTTTGACTCAAAACAAGAGAAGTTCTATTGGGACAGTATCCACAAATTACCTGAAAGATGGGGGAAATGTGTAACTAGCAATGGACATTACATTGCATAAAGCACTTTTGATATTTCTCTTAAAATGATTGTGTTTTCTTTGACTACAAAATCTGCATTATTAACCAGTACAATGTCAAAGTTTGTAAATTACAGGAGAGGATTCAAACTCAGCTCACTCAAGTCCTAAAACCCAAGTATACCCTTCTATCTGTTGCCTTCCTACTAGTATAATCACAAAGCTTGTTTCTAGGAGCCAACTTTACCCGATTTTTCAGGATTCCCCGAAGTTCTTAACTGCTTTTGAGTTACAGATCCCTTTTAGAATCAGAGCTTTCGAAAAGTGCACAGAAGGTTAAGATGCACCTAAAGACACACTTTCACATGGCTCTTCTATTGACTTAGGTTAGACCCTTCCGGTAAAACAAGGAGAACTTCACAGACTCGCCATGCTTCAGGGACAGACCCAAGTAACTGCAAAAAGTCACTAAGTCCACAGGTGGCTGGACTATTAGGAACTACTATCAACTCCAGGTTAAGAGTTAAAACCAATGAAATATGGGATTGAACCAAGGTAGTATGAAATGAGGGCGAAGGCTGTTCTAGCAATCCTAAGGGCTAGCTGATGGGGCCAGAGGACAGGGGGTTCGAAGAACCAGGAGGGGAAAGGCCTTTGATTGAGAAATAGAGGCTAAATCAACATTTAATGCCAGTGAAATGTCCTGAAGGGGGACATGCAGTGCCAAGTTTACTACTGGGGCTGAGGACACACAGATTACCCACTGTTTCTCACCACCCCAGTCAGCCACTGTGCCTTTCAAGCTCTTATGGCTCCTACACCCACTTCCTTCCCTCCATTCTCTTAACCTCCATCCCAGGCCAGTTGCTCATATTTCTGGAAAAGTTGCAACAGCTTTCTTACTAACTTTCTATCCCCATATTCAACTTCTTATTTAAATACTGATGTCTGAATTCCCTCTCTCATACCTTCAATGACAGGGTAATCCCGTTAATATTTGATAGTTAGGATAACTAATGATGATTAGAAAATTCACATTAAAAATAGTCCAAGGGGGCAATTTCACATGCTTCAACTTAATAGACACTGGGTGCACCGTTCAACATATTATCTCACTTAACCTTCACAACAGCCATCTAAATCAACTCTAACTTTACTACACGTAACCAAAGTGAGGTCTAGGAAAAATCAAATAATTTATACAGATAGCAAATGACAGACTCAGTTCCATGTCTAACTCCCCAAATCCCACCTTTGGCAACCTGGAAACTGTCTTTTTATACTAACATGTATCTCTGTTCTGCTGTTGTATTTATGAGGGTCCTTTGAATCCTAAAATAAGAGAATCATTGAAATCTAAAGCTGGGAAAGATTTTGATGCAGAGATTGTGAAATAGGGACCCAGCATACCCACAATGTACATGAGAGAAGCTGCCTGAGAGGTTAGCATGCAGCCTGAAGCCCCAGACCTGGGAGGCTCTGGGGAAGGGGCCATGGAGAGGAGGGGAGAGGTGCCAGGGATGGGAGCTGGGTGAGCAGTGCCTCTCAACTCTAACCATTCCTGCCCTGGGAGAAAGAGAACACAATTACTAGGCCTTCCAATTCCCCAAGAGAAGCCAAACAAATCTAAACAGTAAAGGATTCTGTCAACTGTTGAGAAATACCACATGGGGCAGAGAAAACAAATCTACAGGAGTAGCTGGTCCCTGTGCCATCTACTTTGCAGCTCCTGCTTTGATGTCTGTTTTTTTGTTTGTTTGTTTGTTTGTTTGTTTGTTTTTTTAGTTGATTCACTTCCTGCTCTGTGCAAAAATCTCTTCTCAGTTATTAGTGGGCCAAGGTGAACAGAGAACTCTCACCTTCTGCCATCTGGGGCCCAGTAGCATCTGGAACACTCTGATCCTCGTAATCCTTGTTCTTGGGTAATATTAATGATTTAATCTCCCAAGCTCACTCCCTGTCCTGTGCAGCCACATCTGTGAGATTGACAGACAAGACTCAGAGGAGTCCAGGTGGAGCAGATCATATCCTGACTCAGTATTGCCACAGACGCCCAAACTGTCCTCAGAAGGCCAGTCTCAGCCCCTCCCCGGAAGTAACCATCACACTTCTCAGCCATGGACGATGAGGTGACGGAAGAGGAGGTAGAGAAGTTTCTGGACTCCAATGTCAGCTTTGCCAAACAGTATTTCGACCTCCACTACCGAGCTAAGGTCATCTCAGACCTGCTGGGGGCCAAGGAGGCGGCCGTGGACTTCAGCACCTACCACCCGCTGAGCAGCGTGGAGGAGAGTGAGATCATCTTCGACCTTCTGCGGGACTTCCAGGAGAACCTGCAGGCCGAGAAATGCATCTTCAACGTCATGAAGAAGCTGAGCTTCCTCCTGCAGGCGGACCGCATGAGCCTGTTCATGTACAGGGCCCGGAATGGCATCGCCGAACTCGCCACCCGCCTCTTCAATGTCCACAAAGACGCGGCCCTCGAGGAGTGCCTGGTGGCGCCCGACTCCGAGATTGTGTTCCCCCTGGACATGGGTGTGGTGGGCCACGTCGCACACTCTAAAAAGCTCACTAACGTCCCCAGCACAGAAGAGGTACCCTTACCCCACAGGAGGGAGGGCAGGGAGGCATTATTGGAGGGGGGGGGGACGCGGCTCTGGGGTACCCATGGGATGGGGAGCTGCCGGCCACTAAGATTAGGCTAGTAATTACTTGGTGCTTCTTCCTTTCTTCCTTCCTTCCTTCCTTCCTTCCTTCCTTCCTTCCTTCCTTCCTTCCTTCCTTCCTTCCTTCCTTCCTTCCTTCCTTCCTTCCTTCCTCCCTCCCTCCCTCCCTCCCTCCCTCCCTCCCTCTCTCTCTCCTCTCTCTCTCTCTTTCTTTCTTTCTTTCTTTCTTCTCTTTCTTTCTTTCTTTCTTTCTTTCTTTCTTTCTTTCTTTCTTTCTTTCTTCTTTCTTTCTTTTTATATATATTTTTATAGATTTTTTTTTTTTTTTTTTTTTTTTTTTTTTTTTTTTGCAGAGAGGAAGAGAGAGGGATAGAGAGTTAGAAACATCGATGAGAGAGAATCATTGATCAGCTGCCTCTTGCACACTCCCCTTCTGGGGATGTGCCCGCAACCAAGGTACATGCCCTTGACCGGAATGGAACCCTGGATCCTTCAGTCCACAGGCTGATGCTCTATCCACTGAGCCAAACAGGTTTTAGCTTGATGCTTCTTTTTATTTATTTAATTATTTATTTATGATTTTTTTTTTTAATTTGGGGAGGGAAATTTAACAGTTGAATTAAAAAAATAGTACAGAGAACTGTATACCTTTCATCTAAAGTCACCAGTTGTTTATATCTTGCCACACTTGCTTTATGTCTCCATTCTTTCTGATCCATTTGGGAGTCCATCGCAAACAAATGCCCTTTTAACCCTGGGCACCGGGTTGTGTATTTCCAGACCAGGAACAGATCGTAAATATCCACAGTACAGTGAGCAAATTTAGGAAATGGAACACTGGCACAATACTATTCTCTAATGAGCAGTCAGATTCCATTTGGCCAGTGGTCTCAACCGAAGCCCTGACTCTTGAGTCTCCTTGAAGCTGCAGGAGTTCCCCAGTCTGTCTTTGTTTCCCATGATGTGGATGTTTTTGAAGGGTGCAGGCCAAATGTTTTTCATAATGTCCCTCCCTTTGGGCTTGTCGGACACGTCTTCATGACGAGGTTCAGGGTATGTGTTTCTGGCAGGGTATCACTGAGGTGATGTGGTGCTTTGCTTTGAACGTTCACTCAGGAGACAGGAAGGCCTCATTCCCGGACATGTTAGCCTCCATCACTTGGTTGAGCACTTGGCTCTTTCTTCTAAGAGTCCAGTGTTGTGTGGGATTCTACTGGCAGCTCTGACAAAGACCTCTTTGATCTCCGGGGGCAAATCCCTTGAATGCAGTTCTCCATACAGCCCTCTGCCAAGACCAACTCCTACTCATCCTTCAGATCTCAGCTTGAAGGTCACTTCCTCCGGGAGGCCATCCCAGATCCCTGGTACAGTCTCCTTCCTAACACCCATTATCACAATAAGTAAGTCCTGGGGATCAGGGACCGGGCCCACCTTCTTATCTTCTTTATCTCAGGACCCAGAACCCAACAGATGCCCAGTAATCACTTGGCATGAAAGACTCTCAACGAAGTCATTATGGCATACACTTACTTGACCCTTGAATAATACAGTTTGAACTGTGCAGGTGTTAAAAATTCACATGTAAGCTGACCCATGCAGTTCAATCCTGTGTTGTTCAAGGGCTCAATTCCTTTAACATATGTCTCATCTGAAAGAATATTTGCCCCAGGATAGCCAGGCCCATGCAGTTCTCATTTATTGCCGTACTGGCTAAACCAGGAGCATGTGTTTGGGTATTCCCAAGATCCAGCCTAGATATTTGTGTCTTTATGCTCACCTTACTTCTGACTTTATTTCAAATTAAGGACTTTAAGGTTAAAAAGAGGAGGAGCAATGGGGCTTCAGAGATCATCTCACAGGACGTTTATTTAGTGAATGAGAAGCCTGAAGCCATCAGAACTTGAGGAGGGGCTTGCTCACAGTCACTAAGGAGTTGCTACAGGCCCAGGACTTCACATTTATACATGATGAATTCAAGCGGGTCATTTTTTTGGCTTGGGTCCCTTGGCAAGATAAGAAGCACACACTTGGGCCTGTGGGGGAGATAGTTTTCTTTGAAACACACGGGGCTGGACCTCCCGTGGAATTCCTCTCTCCTTCATCTCCCCTGGACACCCAGTGCTAAGGGTAACGGTTCTGCATCCAGGGAGCTTTCATGGGGTGAAAATCGCCTGTCACTGGATTGGGGTGTGTTCTCCCTTCATGTCTCTAGATTTTAAGTGTAGCCAATATGGACGGTCACGATCAATGACATACCCCGACTATATCTGTTTCACAGAGGATGGAACTGACGCCTGGAAAGGTCGGTTAAGTAGTAACTTGTTCAGAGTCCTGCAGGGAGAAAGAGGCAGAGTGGGGATCAGAACCTGGGCACTCTGGCCTTCGTCCACACTCTTCACTGCCCCACTGTTCTACACCTCCTCCTTATCTGTAAAATGACGGGCACTGGACCAGGTGCTGTGTGCCAAAGGTCACTTCAAATCATATGGCGGAAAGTTAGGGGGTGGAGCTTTGAGGTCTGATCTGGGGTGAATCATGACTCAGTCGCTTTCTAAGAACATGGCCTTGGCAATGGTTAGCCAGTCTGGGCTCACTTCCTAATTTATAAAATGGGTGAGAATACCTACTTCGCAGTGCTGCTGTAGGATTAAAGGAGAGAGCTGTTTCCATCTAGTAGGTTCTGGACACACTGCAATGGCTCATAGTGGCAGCTCCTGCTTCTTGTTACTATTATTACTGTTTTTTCTGTTGGGATGGATGTTGTGCCAGGTCTGCATGGGATTTGGAGAAGAATCCAGTTGTGCCCCCTTGCCCTTCTGGAGCTCTCTATTTAGATTCTATTTACAGGAAGAGCAGAGAGCAGAGGTACCAAGAGCTTCTCTGGACACTGGTGTTGCAGGGCTGGGAATTTAGTCCCCTGATTTCAAAGTACCCAGTCCAAGAGTTTGCTGAGCCCTGACTGAGGGACAGCCTGCCATTTCCTGTTCCACCTCAAGGTTCACTCTGGAAGTCATGCCTGTGTTTCTCTGGAAGTTTTCCAGCCTTGGGCAGTCTCTGGGCTGATGGCTCAGGCCTGGCAGGGAAGTCAGTGCAGGCCAGCAAGCTTTTAGTAGTTGGCATTTGCATGTGTTTGCTTCTCCTGTTGTTCCTGCTTGAGAAATCTTATTCTATTTGGGGCTCTGACAGTGATTGAAGTGGGGTCAGTGTTAAGGGATTTGATGATAGCTCCAGGTAGATAGTGTCTGAACTGAATTGAATTGTAGGGCACTCAGCCGGTGCCAGAGAATTAGTTGGTGGTGGAAAAACACCCTCACATCTGGTTGTGGAAGCAGCAAAGGAACATGGTAATGTGACAGTAAAGGAAAACAGTGAGTTTTTCCTAGACATGGACAAATCCCATGTCTGAGGACTGTCCTCTCAAGGACTCATATCTGGTATCCAGCTCTCCTGCTCTCCTTCTCTTCCTATGAGACTGGGAACCCAGCACTCCACACCAGAAAGAAAATGCAAGGAGAACATGTCCCAATACTCTGCTTCTTACCAAAGAAGAAGCTGATGCCTGGAGAGGTTTAAATTACTGACAGCGTACTGGTGGGCCCCTGCAGCCATTCAGAGAACAAGTCTCTCCCTCCTTGGGTCTCTAGGGTACCACTCATCTCATGAGGGCATCCTACATTATGGTTGAAATTGTGGGTACATGTTTTACATGATGTCCCCTCTATATTGTGAGAACCCAGTGAGGACAATCTCAGCTTTCTTACTAGTCTTGGCATATCCAATCTTCTAGCAAAGTCAGTAATATAATGAATGAATGAGTGAATGAATGAATGAATGAATGAATCAATCAATCAGTGTATTAGTGAGTGAATGAAGTCACTATACCACTTGCCAGCAAGGGAATTGTCTGTAGAACAGGAAAAGTGACAGTTCTAGGTGGCAGGTTGATATGAGGGATAATATGTAAATTGTCTGGCTCTGGGCCTAGTACATCGTCATTATTCAGTAAATAGTAGATCTCATCATGAGACACAATGGAGTTTGGCACTGTGAATGCTTGAAAACAAGAACTGAGGAATCTGGGAATGAGAGTTGGTGTTGCATTGCATTGGAATAAAATCTAAACCCTGTATAGTGGCCTCCAAGGCCCTGCCACGTAGGCCCTGCCCATGTCTCTCACTGCCTTGCCCTCCACTTCCCTTCGCCCACCCTGTACTTCAGCCACACTGGTCTTCTTTCTGTTTCTCAGATCATTGTCCCCGTCCACACCTGCACCCTCACCTTTGGCCTTTGCCTTCTCTATGATTCCTGCTTGAATGTGCTTCACTTGCCTGGCTCCTGTAATTCCTCAGCTCTCAGGATTACCTCTTCAGAGAAGCCTCCCTGACCATCTTTACTAATGAAAGTAGCTCCAGCCTGCCACCCCTGTCCTCACCCCCCTTTTTCTCCTTCAAAGCAATTACACAACCTGGAGGGAGAATGCTTGGTTGTTTACCCACTTTTTGTCTGCCTACCCCATTTCACCAGGGAAGAAGTTTACCCATTTGTTCACTGCTATAGCCCCAAGGTCTAGAATAGGGGTGTCGAACTCAATCAGAGAAGGGGCCAAAATCTAAAATCCAGCCTAAATCGCGGGCCGAATGGTTTACTGAACAGTCATAAACTGTCATCGTGATGGAAACGCAGCAGAGTGCAGTGATGACAGCGCGGTGCGGGCCACATTGCAAGGCCTGGCGGGACGGATTTGGCCCGCGAGCCTTGTGTTTGACACATGTGGTCTAGAACAATACCTACATATTTATAGAAGGTGCTCTGTTCATGTTAACTGAACAAATGGATCACTCTGGGCTTTCCCCAGCTGGCTGTCTGATTCCTAGACTTTAAAAAAGAAGCAATCTGAGCTAAATGGCTCCTAAGGCCCTTTCTGCCTCTGATCATCTGAGTTTCTAGGACACAGTTTAGAACATTTTATATTGCTGAAAATATAAGAATGACAACAATTGTGCAAGAGTCAGTCAACTGGTAGCTTTATTACATGTAAAGGGCATTCCAGGGATGAGAACTCAAAGGGAAACATGGTTCTGGTAGACTTAGTAACATCGGCCTCAGATGCAGGTGAGGCCCACGTACTGCTTTCCCTGGTGGAGGTGAAGTGAATATTGCAAGACTGAGCTGACCTCATGAAAGGAACCTGAGCATGCCCCACACAGAGCTGGGTTCAGGGATTTGTCGGTGTCCTTAGAGAAGGACACGGAAAATGCTCTGCGGTTAATGCCTCTTTGGAGGTTTTGTCTAATCCACCAATGCTAATTCAAGCACAGCATGACAGGCTTCTCTTAATCCCTTTACCCTTCACCTGGCTTGAGACAGCTTCATTGACAACAACGCGGTTTTTCCAATTTATCCAATCCCACTCCATCTGGAAGAAAGCCAAAGATGCAGAGCTTCTCATTCTGAATTTCTGAATCGAGGAAAGATTCTGCACACTCACTCCTTGCAAAGCTCTCTCAGTTGGCTCTGTGAAGTACACCTCCCTCCTCAGAATAGCATGAAATGTGCATGTCTGGGCTGGCATGTGTCCCAAGCAATACTGACTGTTGGTAAACCTTGCAGTGTTACCAGAAAACAGGAAGGTGGATTCTTTTGGAATTAAGACAACAATTTAGGATCTGTCTCCTCTTTCCGACCACACAGACTGCGCCTCCCTATATTGGTCTCCCAGGCTGCTTTAGGGGTGGAGTGCTCCTCTGTACTCTCACAGCTTTGAGCCAACTATTACAATATGTCCTATCACTATTATTGATCTATCAATGAACTAGCTTGAAATTTAGTCTCCCCTGTATCACCAGTGTTTAGCACAAGGCCTAATGCCTAGTGGGCCTCCCATTCAGTTTTGTAGGAGGGGGATACCCATGGGACTGGCTTTGTGGTGCTAGAACTGGACTATAAGAAAAGCTGAAAGGAACAGATTCTTTTGTTCTATGACCTGGACCAACGTCTAGCCGTATCCAGGCTCCCCCAAAAGGCAGTGGAGCTGAGGGCAGGTTTTGGAGTCACACACACCCAAGTAACAAATAAAGTTAACCTTCTCGAGTTTCAGCTTCCCTCTCTATAAGATGGGGCACTAATAGTCCCCATCTCATAAGTTATTGGGAGAATTAAGTTAAGATGGTGCTGTTGAAGCGTCAGGCATGATACCTGCTAGCAATCGTCCTTATACTCACGAAGGTCTTTTTCTCATTAAGTTTCTGTTTTGGGCTTAACTAAACCTTCTCTAAACCTGCCTCCCCAGGCAGTCAACCACCCAAGGCTCCACCCCAGGGCTCCAACGTGCTTTGCTCTTATCTCCTCCGCAGCCCTAAATAGGTGCATCTTGGGCTTTCTTCTCCTGTTGGACTCGAGTGGTTTTCAGGGCAGACTTTCCCTCTGATTGCCTTGCCCCGCTGAAGGGGAGACGATGGAAATCTCTTCATTCTGTTGTCAACGGAGAATAGGGACCCTCCTCCCTCTCCCCCCATCCCTACCGTGGACCTCTGAGGCATTTTATTGTCTTTGCTCTTCATCTGCCCACCCAGCTTGTCTCTCTGCCTCCTTTCAGGATGAACATTTCTGTGACTTTGTGGACACCCTCACGGAGTACCAGACCAAGAACATCTTGGCTTCCCCCATAATGAACGGGAAGGACGTGGTGGCCATCATCATGGCTGTGAATAAAGTGGGTGGGCCCCACTTCACCAAGGGAGATGAAGAGGTAAGAAGGCTTCGGAAAGTGTGGGGGTGGCCATGCTAGCCCATCCTCCCGGCTCATAAAGGCTTCTGAACCTTGCTGTTTGGCTTGGCCTTGGTACCCCATCCGTCAGACAAAGCCATTAGTCTGACGCTCTCTGAGGGAGGCACGGCGGGATCCTGGGCTTTGGAGCCAGGAACATAAGGGCGATTGTTCTGGCTCTGCTAATATCTAGCTGTTTGACTTGGCCAAGTTACTTCGTTTGCCTAAACCACTGTGTTTTTCATTTGTAAGAAATAATGACGCGAGGTTTTCCCTAGTTGGGTGTCTGATTTCTGGGCTTTAACTTAAACAGTTTTAAAATGGAGATTAGCTTTCATCTCTTGGGGTATTTGTGGTGCTCAGATAAGATAACATACATAAATGGCTTAGCACAGGAACTGCAAACACAATAAATAGTAGCTATTTTTCATTAATTCACCCCTATCAACATTGACATTCTATATTCTGTGAGTTTTATATTCTTATAATGCAACATGCTGTGAATCAGCATTCCACGGTCCATCTGCTCAAATTTCCTCCGATGAAGCTTTTAAAATATTCAGGCATTTGCTGATGGTAGAAGTGACCAGAAAAGGATTTCTTTTAATTTTCCCCCCCCACATGCTATTTGATTTTTCAGATTCTGCTCAAGTACCTCAATTTTGCCAATCTAATTATGAAGGTGTTCCATCTGAGTTACCTGCACAACTGTGAGACTCGGCGTGGCCAGGTAAGGGGTTTGGCTCAGGGAATGGGCTGGACAAGTTTTTCTTTTTTACTGAACATTGATATGATTAGGCAGGTGGTAATAAACATGGTTGAGGACCATCACACAGTCTCTGCCCAGCGCCCCTGGTGTTAGGAGGTAATAGATGTTTATGAAGCTCTATTCCAGAGTGATTATATGCACCAGTTTTCAAGTCAGATAGCTTGGATTGGAACCCCTGCTAAGCCACTTACTAGCTGTGAGACCCAAGGAAACCACTTATTTTCTCCAAGCTTCTGTGTCCCCATTTGTAAAATGGGGATCATTATGGTCTACCCTCAAAAGATTATCGTATAGAACAAGAGACGACGTGTGGAGAGCACTTGTGCTCAATCAGTGTTTGTTATTCTCCTCTTCAACAACCTATGATATCAAAGAAGTGGAAAGAGTGGTAAGCTGGCCAATTATTCCACCTCCCTGGGCCTCAGTTTCTCTGTCTCTAAAGTGGGGATGATTACCTTATCTCTATCTTAGCATTATTGTGAGGGTGAAATGAGATAAGCTCTAGAGAACCTGACGGAGTTGCCATTCTCCTCCAGCTCAGGGAGCAGCTGCTTTGTACCTTGAAAACGTTGACTGTCTTGGTATTCCTTCAGATACTGCTGTGGTCTGGGAGCAAAGTCTTTGAAGAGCTAACGGACATCGAGAGGCAGTTCCACAAAGCCCTGTACACGGTCCGAGCCTTCCTCAACTGCGACAGATACTCTGTGGGGCTCTTAGACATGACCAAGCAGAAGGTGAGAAAGGAGCGAACTTTTCCAAGAACAGGTTAAATACACACCGAGAGGAGCCAGACTTGTGTCACCCACGGGAGGATGTGGATAGTTGTAGAAAGTCTGTCACAGTTTTACATTGAGGAGAGGAGCACCAATATTTAAATGAGGGAAGTCAATCTAGAGCACCAGTAAGTAAAAACAACCTGTATCTTCCCTCGTCAGCTGGAAAAGAAAGTGCATGTGAGAAGAAGGTGTAGGAGATAGAGTGATAAAGAGATTTTTACACAGAGTGAAAGTCCAGAAAGAAGAAAGCTACCAACTTCAGGAATTCTCAGAAAACACACTCACCTGTCCCACGGTTCAGAGAGCTCAGGGCTGACCTGGGCAGTGGAAGTGGGGGCAGATGCTTCGGTCTGGTCCCTCAGAATGCTCAGGGGCCAGGTTTGCCCCAGATACATTGGCCAAGGAGAAAGAGCCTGAGAAGGTTCGTGGTATTGTTTTTCAGCTGCGTTTCCCTGCAATAACACTCACCTGGCTCTTTTTTAAAATATATTTTATTGATTTTTTACAGAGACAGAGGGAGAGGGATAGAGAGTTAGAAACATTGATGAGAGAGAAACATCGATCAGCTGCCTCCTGCACACCCCCTACTGGGGATGTGCTGGCAACCAAGGTACTTGCCCTTGACTGGAATCGAACCTGGGACCCTTCAGTCTGAAGGCCTACGCTCTATCCACTGAGCCAAACCAGTTTCAGCTTCCCTGGCTCTTTATCTCTGCTTCCTGAGCCTACTCATGTTCTGCCTTGGAATAACCGAATAACATTCCAGAGTTATTTAGATTCATGATTTCCTATCCCAAAGGTCGCAGGTACAGGATTCTTGTCAGTTTCACTTTCATGCCTTGTCATGCTGAGCATGGTGCACAGAGCAATGAGACTCTCCCAATAGTTGGTTGAATGAGTAGGTAATCCCAGAATCTGGGGTTGGAAAGACCTTAGATCTAGCGTAGCAATAAACCCTCTGATAATCCTTAAGAAAGTAGCATATGAATAGATTCATACAAATGAATGTCTCTTTCTTAAATCCAAGGAATTTCTGAGTAGCCGACTTAAAAAAAACTCCACCTTAAAGGATCTGCCCCCAGGTGCAAGCTGCTCTACCCTGTAGCATTCTGCCCTCCATTTCTTTTAAACTCCCTGTGAAAGAGAAAGTCCATCAGCAGGAATATTCTAATTTAGTCATCCCCCAACATGGAACACCCTAGCAATCAGAGGTGGGCTGAGCTGCCTACAGTCACTCTAAGAACCTATTCCCCCAGGCAGCTAAGCTTTTACCTGAGCTATTGTCATTATGAAAGAAGTAAATAAAGCCACTGAATTTTACACTTTAACTGGGAGAACTGTGTGGTATGTGAATTATATAAACCAAGCTGTTTAAAAAGAAAGTAGAGAGAAAGAGAAAGAGAGGAAGGCAGGCATAAACATGCCCCACTTTTCACCAACCCCTTGCTGACAACTTCTGCTTCTCTTCAGAGCCACTGTTGGGTTCTTAGCACACCCACCTGACAGGTTCTCCAGGACTTGATTGTTCCTTCTATGAGACTGCAAGTTTCTCCAGAGGGCAAACTATGCCTTACCCATCTCTGTGTATCTAGCAGAAAGCCTGTTCTGGGGCTCAGGCAGGGCTCCATTTTATATTTCACACCCTGAATCGAATTTCATCCTGTTGTCAGTAGTCAAGAAGAAGCTGACTCCCTCTGCTTGTCCTCTGGATGATATTAGGATAGGCCAGTGGTCGGCAAACTCGTTAGTCGACAGAGCCAAATATCAATAGTCCAACGATTGAAATTTCTTTGGAGAGCCAAATTTTTTAAACTTAAACTTCTTCTAATACCACTTCTTCAAAATAGACTCGCCCAGGCCGTGGTATTTTGTGGAAGAGCCACACTCAAGGGGCCAAAGAACCGCATGTGGCTCGGGAGCTGCATGTGGCTCGGGAGCTGCAGTTTGCTGACCATGGAGATAGGCAAACCACCATGACAAGATTGTTCAAATAAGAGAGAGGCCATGAGCAAGAGGACTTGGCATCTTACCCACCATACCCCAGCACTCATCTATCACTGAGCCTAAACATTCACAATGAGCAGAGAGGGCACTGGAGGACTGTGCACCTCTGTGTGCAGTGGGAAACCAGTTGAGGAGCAGCAGGGAGAAGCTTGTTGTAGTGTCCCAGTTGGTTTCTTTTCCTGAGTCCAAGTGATGGTGCCGTGCCTCTGCTGGCTGCTCCTTCTCTCTGCCCAAGTCTTCCTTTGTCAGATGTCTTCCATGTCATCTTTCTTGTCGGATCTCAGATACAAGTCTATCTATCCATATTTGGCACCATTGCTTTTTCTTTCTCATTTGTAAAAAAAAAAATATTTTTTTCCAGATTACAAAAGCAATAAGTTCTACTATGGAATAACTGCTAAATAAATTATAGTCTCATTCCAATCACCCAGGGAAAACCAGTTGTTACTCCTTTGCTGTGAATTCTTTGAGAACATTTTCGATATATAGTTAAACATTTGGGTCACATGATTTATATTCTTTTGTCCACCTCACATTTTTCACTTGTCAGCATATCATGGACACCTTTCTAATCAATACATACACATCTGTAGCATCATTGTCACTATATGCTACAACAAACTTAGGTTGTTTTTAAGTTTTCACTATTATAACTTATACTGCAAAGGACATTGTTTTAGCCAAACCTTCCATCATGTATTTTCAAGACCTGTAATTATTGTTTTCTTCATGCCTAGGAATTTTTTGATGTGTGGCCAGTCCTGATGGGTGAAGCGCCACCATACACTGGCCCAAGGACTCCGGATGGAAGGGTAGGTCTCTCTCTGGCCTGCTCAATATGATAGCATGTTGGATGAAATGAAAATGTAAAGCACTATAAAAACTGCTGACTTTAAAAAAATCACATGGGTATTTTTCTTCTCTGGGTTGGGATGTTTCCCTTAAAGTTATAATTTCTCACAAATCCTGTAATTTACAAGGTTCTTTAATATCTTGTTGGAATTTCATAGCAACCTGGTGGGTTGAACAAGAAGGACTCAACATTCTTATTCCACAAAAGAGGACACAGCCCCAGAGAGGTCAAGCAACTTGTCTAAGAATTCACCCAGCAGAAGTTTAGATAATAAGACCTGGAAATATCCTTACTCTCTAATTGAGAGTATATAAATTGGTAACTAGAGGTCAATTCCAATGAATAAGTAAACTTGATTGACTGCATACATTTAAAAATCTAACTTTTTACTTAAAAAAAATTGAATTGGTAGCTTAGCACTTAATAAAATCAAGAAATTTCCCATACATATCTATAGTCTCAGTTTCTTTTATAAAGGTAGAAGATCAGTCAAAACTGGACCCACAATCCCACAGGGTAAATTTGATTGGAGCTGGGTAGCAGCTATCTCTGTAGAATGTGGTCTGAGCTCTCCAGTTTGCCATAGTCTTCTCCTGTGAACACCTGGCCTCCCCTGCTCACATTTTTGTTTCTGTCAGGCCTCTAGGCATTCGAGTTTGTGACCGCTGGTCTCATACCATTGCTTTTTTTTTTTTTTTTTTCAAGATGAGGTACAAACATTTGAGAGAAACTGATATGATATGAATGGGAACATGGAAATGGTCTAGGGTAAATAGACTGAGCCCTCAAATGGCCTATAGAACCTGTGGAATAACTGAATGACCTTAGCTGAGGCCACACAGGGTAAGCAAGCAGCAGAGTCATGCCCTGGAGTAAGTTTTAAAACAATGCTTTCCCACAAGCCCTTTTAGCCTGTTTGAAATGGTATGCCAATTTCTGCTGGGAGGCTTGATCTCACCCAGCCAACCCTAACCCTACTCAAAATAAAGGTGTGTGTGTGTTCACAATAGACTCAAATGCTGGAAATTCAATATGAACACCCTTGCCTGTAAGCTTTATTTACACACCAGAAGAGATTTCAACTTTGGAATCCACATGGCCTGCTGTGCTTTATCCAAAATGACCTTTATCCCTTACTGTCGCCCAGTTTCAAACTATTCTTTTACCCACACAAGTTCATTAGGAAAGACTGAGTCTTCAAGGATTGCATCCTATCCCAGTCTCACAAACTATTTGGGTACACATTTCTTTTTAAAGGACAGCTCTTCATGTTGTTATAGCTGACATGTTATAAGTTTTTGCTCCAAAATATGAGCTGGACTTTTAGCTCCTGGAATTTAGGAGGGGAGGAACTACAATAGAGATCAGCATAGCTTTCAGACATCATCAGCTTCAACTAACTTCAGTTTTAGCAGCTGCTTTGATACTCAGCTCTCTGAGCTGAGCCCTGAGATCAAAGGTCATATGTAACTCCCAGGTGGCCAGAGAAATGTTGTCTTCTACCTTATCTGGCTCTTTACCCTCCAGTACTCTGATCTCTTTAAGATTGAACTGAATAGGGTATTTTCTCACTGAGCGCCAGCCCTATCATTTGTTTAATTCAAGAAGTTTTGGTTTCACTGAAGTAACTAGCATAGTCATGGCTAAGACTTTTCCTTCCCCAAACCCTTCTCCATCTCAAGTAGCACAGGCTCAGTCAATCCTTGCAAGACTATGAGTCATTACATTGAGATGGAAAAAGGCCAGAAGGCAAAGGATGTTGGAATTGGTTGGTTGCTAACTTGTACGGTGAGCTTGGCCAAATTGTTCCTTGGACCTTTCACTTTCCCACTGAGGGGGAGCTGCCACTGAACTCATCTCCAAAGTCAGTTCCAGGTCTTGGGTAGCCAGTGAGGACAGCACACAAAGGCCTAAGCCAGGGCTCAGACACAGCATGATGAGATTGGCCAAAAGCGAATCTTCTGAAAAGAGCATAGGCTTGGAGGAGAAAAGCCCAAACTCAGATCCCTGCTCACCAGCTAGTTCTGTGACCTGGGGGAACCTTATGAAGCCTCACCTTCCTCATCTTAACCGCCTGGCAATCAGGCTGATCCAGGAGGGCCCTGGTAACTAAAGTGAATCATACACTGACACAGTAGTCATCATGGCTACTTGGGTTGACTCTCACTATCTGCCAGGCACTTAATGTGGATTCCGTCATTTATTCTTTTCAATGAGTTTATGGAGAAGGTCTCCTAACATCACTCACTCACTTTATCTGCCACATTCCCATTAAAAATAGAGCTTTTGTCTAATTAATCTCCCCATATCTTGGTCTAAAGCTCCCCACTGGCAGTTACCCCTCACTTTATATCCTTTTAAAAGTAAAAGTGTGTGTGTGTGGTGTGTTGATAATTAAAAAATTATAGAGGCTGATTAGGCTTTATTGGGGGAGGGGGAAACAAAACAAGAAATAGCACTCGTTTTAAAACTAGTACATTTCCACACACGATGATTTGGCTACGGCTATATTAGTGGCTCTTTCAAAGACCCCTGTGTTGTAGCCTTAGCTGCTCAGGTGGAAGGTAACAAAGGTGCTCATTGATGGCTCAGTTTTGACTTTCCAAAGACTGAGCATTCTTACATGAACATGGCCTTGAAGGCAACTTGGCTGAGCTACAGTGTATGGAAAAAGCCCTATTTACCTAGGGCACACTGATCTTTTTATTGCATTCTGTGAAAGCAAATTAATTTCCCTGTAGGTTTCAAAAAACCCACGTCCATTTCTAACCTTTCTAAAGGAGTCTCGTGAACGCCCTCGATAGGACAGGCTGTGGCGCCCGGGGAGCTGGCAGCTTGCCTAGGAGTGGGGTGAGCAGCCCAGGCCCAAGGACAGAGAGCCTTGCAGCAAAGACCTGCTGAAGGTCGAGAAGGTCCTGGAAGTCAGCCTCCTCCTCCTCCCAAGTGGAAACTTAGCTTTTGACCAAAGTCCCAGCAGCTAATGGCAGCCACCTTTGCTTTCTAGAACTGCCTGCAGCATACTGCCTTTTATGACTAGATCCCATGCTTTGTTTGGGAAAAGAGTTCTGGTACCTAACAACAACAGCATACATGCCCTACAGCTGGGGACACTGAGGCTCAGAGAGTACACCTAGGCAAACCAAGGGTAGAGCATGAGCCTTTACTCTAGAGCAGCAGTCGCCAATCTTTTGGACCTCACGGACCACCAGTGGCCCACGGACCACCAGTTGGCAACTGCTGCTCTAGAGCATCTCATCAAGCTGTGGGGTTCATCTAGTCTCCCCTTGGATGCTTCCTACTCGAGGGGGCTCCTGTCTACCCTGGGGATGCTGTCATCCTTGGAAGAGCTCAGGCTTCTGTGTCCTGATTAGCCAAAGTGTGCCTCGTGGGAGGACTTAGTCGCTGTAGCTGCTGGCAGTGCTGGTCACTGAAGAGCAGAGCCTCTCCCGCATGAAGAAGCTCACGATGGCCTGCCAATCAAGTGGACCTTCAGACATCCTTGACTGGACCGGGAAGTTTTCCTTGTGGAGGTTCTGAGTCAGGAGGTTTGGGTGGGGCCCAGGTTCCTACGTGTCAATATTTAGAGCAGTGCTTCTCAAAGGATCTGGAGTAAAGGAACTGTTTTCTTTACAAATTTATAATTCATTTTGGACTGATACTTTCAAAATGTGTTAAAATATATAACTAGAAACAATGAGAATTTAAACAAACATGCAAAATGTAAGTCTTGTGTTTTTTGTTTTTTGTTTCAAGAGACCTAACTTAACTCAGTCTAATTGCTATAAAAGTTTCTAAATGCCAACTCTCAATTTCTGTTTTCATATAATCATGGAATAGCAACAAATTGTTTGCAGATGGGTATCAGTCCAGGGATCCCACTTTGAATGGCTCTGTTCTAGGTGAGCGTGATGCAGAATACAACGCTGTTTTAAGCTGGTAACCTTAAGTGATACAGCAGAATGAGCACTGAGCATAAAAGTCAAGGTTTTGGTCCTGGCTCACTAGAAATGAGTCCTTTCCTCTCTCTGGGCTCATTCTTCCCATTGTTGAATGCTTACTGACTTGCCTGTCACACCTGGGAGCTGAAAGGATCTGACCAGGTATTGGAACTTGCTCTGGAGAGCTAAGGGAAAGGAGCCGTGTCAGTATCCAAATGCATGTTAGGAAGTCATGTAATTGAGCAGATCTATTCTAAGAGAATGGGAGTTTTAATGGTGCAAGGAGGTGGGAAGGATGAAAGAGGTGGAAAATGAGTTAGGAGGCATGAGGCATGATTGGGCAGACAGGTCTGAAAGAGCTGACATAGCAAAGAGAGCAGTTGGATGATAGGAATGAATGAGAAAGGGGGGCGTGACCATAGAGCTGAGTCCTGTATAGAGGCTGGCTGGGTTGACAATGCTTCTAAATGGGACAGGAGCCTCCTTTCAACTTCCCTTTCTCTCTAGACTTCAGCAGCAGTCTCTCTTTCTTCTTGGGCTCAACTTCCAGATCCCCTTAGAACACTTCCCATCCCTCCTACCAGCCCCAGATCCCAGCCCCTGCTTGGCCACTGTGAGCTGTGCCTAAGGAGATGCACAGTAAACCCTGAGAGTCAGATTAGGACAGTGAGCTGCAGAGGCAGCTGGGATACACCTTTGGAAAGTCAGGCTGGTACTCTGGAAAACCACAGAACACAGAGTGAAAAACAGGGCCTGTGTCATGGACAAACCCCTCTTGAAGTTCTGTCTCAGACTGTGGAGGTATATTATTTCTCTATCTCTTTTGCTTAGGAAATCAACTTTTACAAGGTCATTGATTACATCCTGCATGGCAAGGAAGACATAAAAGTAATCCCGTAAGTCACATGGCCTTACCTAACTTCAAGTGGACAGGTAATGCCACCTTATCATGTTACCAAAAGGAAGTGAGAGAACAATTGTAAGTATCCTGAATGGCTGCCAGCGTATATGCCATTTAAATTAACAGAGGGGGAAAGTGAATAGTAATAAATGCTTTAACAAACCAGAAGAAGGCAAAATAAACATTTAGAAAGGACATAAAACAGGTGCAAAAAATACAAAGGTGTTTCAATCTAAACACATCACTAATTACTTTAGATAGCAGTCAACTGAATGTTCCAGTTAAAAGACAAAGGTTGCCATGTTGGGTAACAAAGAAATCCCTCCCATTTCATTGACTCTAAAATGTACGGTTTCCTACTTGTTTACATTTCTGAAATAGAATCCATGACATTGTACAATTGCTGCCACTCAGACAGTAGTCAGATGTAGTTACTATTGCCTGCCTTCAAGAACTTGGTCATAAACATTCATATTGTTATGGCTTCATTTGAGTTATATGTATTGTTGGTTATATCCATATTAAATTTAATTGCCATATAAAGGGACTTAAAGAAATTATACTGGCTGGCATGGCTCAGTGATTGAGCATTGACCTATGAACCAGGAAGTCACCATTCGATTCCCAGTCAGGGCACATGCCCGGTTGCAGGGTTGATACCCAGTGTGGGGTGTGTAGAAGGTAGCCAATTGGTGATTCTCTCTAATTACTGATGTTTCTATCTCTCTTTCCCACTTCCTTCCTTACTTCCTGAAGTCAATAAAGACATATTTAATTTTTAAAAATTATATTATGATGCAGTATTGAAACCAAGTGTTGCTTTGTATGGTACAAAAAGACAGGAAAAAGGTATAATCTATGTTAAAAATCTATATCTAAATTCTAAAAGAGCTGTGTTGACATTAATAAAGTAACTTGAGGCCCATTGTATGAAATTTGTGTACTGGGGTTGGGGTCCCTCAGCCTGGCCTGTGCCCTCTCACAGTGCGGGAGCCCCATGATCGATGGCCCCACCCACCTATCTGAGGCTTCTCAGAGGATTGCCCCAAAGAGATAGGCCGGAGCATGCACCATGTAGAATTGAGAGCACATATATATCAGATTGGTCATAGCATCACTGCTTATATGAGGCCCAAACTGAGGGAGAATGTCCACCAATAGTTGAATGGGTAAATTGTGCTACGGTCACATAAGGGAAAACTCAACGTGAATAAAAAGAATGAATTATAGCAACATGAAAAAGAAGCAAAAATATATACACATATACACTATAATTCCATCCAAATGAAGTTGAAAAACAGGCAAGATTAAACTTGAGAGTACTGGAAAGCATACTTAGATGGTAAAACTACAAAAAAGCAATAATATCACTTACAAAATCAGAACAATGATTATTTGGGGGGTTAGGGAGAAAGCTGCCATTGGAGGGGCAGATCAGGAGCAAACAGGATTTTTAAAAAATATATATATATATTTTATTGATTTTTCTACAGAGAGGAAGAGAGAGGGATAGAGAGTTAGAAACATCGATGAGAGAGAATCATCGATCAGCTGTCTCTTGCACACCCACTACTGGGGATGTGCCTGCAACCAAGGTACATCCCCTTGACCGGAATCTAACCTGGGACCTTTCAGTCCGCAGGTTGACACTCTTATCCACTGAGACAGACCGATTTTGGCCCAAGATTGTTCTTGACTTGGGTGTAGCTTCATGAATATTCACTTTCAAACAACTGGTGAATATTTTAATGCATTTTTCCACTTGTATATTTTTTTTCTCACAATAAACAAGTAAAAGATAATAATGCCAAAAAATTGTAATATTATTAATGAATCAGCATATAAAGCACCCTTGGTATGTGTTTTCCCACTCTCTATGTTATTAAGTTAACTCTCTCTACATAAGTATTAATGGAGGGAAATGTTGGTACCTGTTTTTGCTCAGCAGCCCATAACAATCTGTTGAATGAATGTTGTCTCTTTTCTTAGATAGTCAAACTCAGTGTGCAATCAAAATTTAGTTATCACCCTCGCCTCAGTGTTTAAACATTAAGCATCTTAATGTATTTATTAAGATGCTTAGTCAAGATTTGAGACTCCTTCAGGTATAGTAAAGTAAGCAGGTGCTGGGAGCAGCCAGACAGAACATGGAGGGAGGACAAAGACCCAAATTCAAATTAAAAAATATATATATTTTATTGATTTTTTAAAGAGAGGAAGGGAGAGAGATAGAGAGCTAGAACATTGATGAGAGAGAAACATCGACCAGCTGCCTCTTGCACACCCCCTACCGGGGATGTGCCTGCAGCCAATGTACATGCCCTTGACCGGAATCGAACCTGGGACCTTTCAGTTCGCAAACCAATGCTCTACCACTGAGCCAAACCGGTTTCACCCAGATTCAGATTTTTAGTCCAACTGTCCTTACAGCAAAAGTTACCATCTGTCTTTGGCCTTTACAGGAATCCACCTTCTGACCACTGGGCTTTAGCAAGTGGTCTCCCCACTTATGTTGCTCAGAATGGTTTGGTAAGTAATACAACTTTGAAGCAGAGGAGTTTTAAATCAGGTGGAAGAGTGAAAGGATTTCAGTTCAAGAGTAGGGTGGGGGAGATGATGAGAAGTGGGGATGTCTAAAAGCCGATTCTCTCATTTCTCAATACACTTGAGAGTTGGTCCAAGGAGATGAACAGAATATTAACATTTGAGAAAATATGAAATACACAGAGATAGTCTCACTGACTAAATAAAGATACGTATGCATATGTCCGGGGCAAAGTCATGATTGGCTGGTCTTCCAGGCTCACCATGGACCAAACCCCAACCTTTCATACCAGAGACTTAGCTGCCACTCCCAAACCCTCATCTCTGCTACATTTCCAGCCCTCCCCTGGATAGCAGAGCTCAGATGCTCTGTCTCCCACCATGCCCTACCTGCTCAGGGTCAAGGGTGGAATAACAGCATCCCCTGCTCCAGAGAGAAAGGTCATATATGTTAGCTGCACATCACCCCCATTATTGAACCTGGTTACCCCTCTATTATCTCCCAGATACAACACAGAACTAGATGGAGGTGTCTAAAGACTTAGAAGGATGTAGGAAATAAAATGGAAACCAAGGAAGTAAAAAATTTTAACAAGAAGAGAGACAACCACATGCAACACAAGTGATCTGTGAGCTAAGAACTCAAGCCCATTGGGTTTGGCAATGAGTAGGTCATTGTTGTGCTCATTGAGAGTAGATTTGGTGGTGAGGACAGAAACCAGTGTGTGGTCTGCCGAGGTGTGGATGGGTAAGGAGGAGGCAGAGAATGCAAAATGAAGAGGAAAGAACCTGGATGGTTGCAATGGAAACAACATGGGGTCAAGGGAGGATTTCATTGTCAAAGATGGGAGAGATTCAACCATGCTCGTGGGCTGAGGGGAAAGGGCCCTGGGAGAGGTCAGAGATCAGGAGAGAATGATGGCAACCTATGGCACTGGTCCAAGGAGAGGCCAGGGGGATGGTGCCATGGGCGGGCAGTTCTCAAAGGAGCAGGGACAGCTCACCCTCTGAGACCACTCTGTGGTCAGGCCAATTGGGACAGGCGGGGTCACTGCAAGTCCATACGGTGCCTTTTTGAGAACTAGAAAAAGCTGTCCAACTCAATGGATGAAAAGAGAAAGGCTAGGGAAATGCTTTTGCAAGTGGAGACCAGACAGAATTTCAACCCCCAGACGTCCCCTTAGCCACATGCCTTCGTGCATTACACACACTACACAGCTCCACAGTGGCCCCACAGGCAGGGCCCTAGCGGGATCAGAGAAGTGCCATCTGCGTGGTAGGGTAAGGGGGTCCCATGTTCAGGAGAAGAACCTGGCAATTACAACAGCACCATTTATTCCTCGTTCTACTTTGGCGTTGGTACTCCAAGGAAGGAAAAAAACTTTCCCGACAAAACGAACGGAATCCAAATGTCATTGTTTCAAAGATGTTTAGAGCAGCATTATTTATATGAATAAAAAGAAAACACAGAACACAACCCAAATGTGCAATAAGAGAGGGAAAACAAAACAGGACACTGTACAGCACTTAACAATGGCAATGTGTAGCCTTTACTTTTTTCGCAGTTTGGAAATAACTCAGGAGCAAAGAAGTAATGTTTACAAGAGAGCTTTTCTGTCCTCGTAGCCTCAGTTAATAATTCAAAACCATCTAGAGCGTGTCTACCTGATGAAAAGAATGTGAACGCCTTGGGCAAGGACGCGGTGTTTCTGAGAGAGCAGGCAATGCTTCACCGGGTACTTTGTCAAGTCTAATAACAGCTCCATTATTCCTTTTCACTGCTTTTAGATTTGCAACATCATGAATGCGCCTGCAGAGGACTTTTTTGAATTCCAAGTAAGTAATTTTCATTTCCTCTATTAGTCACATGATATTTCCCCCCTGAAAGAATATTAGAACACATTAGACTCCGTCTACTTTATTGGAGAGCATTCTCAACAAAGGGAAAACAAGGTGGGGGGAAAAGGTCACGTGCCCAAGGAAGTGGGGAGGGAGTTGATTTGGTGAATTCCAAAGTCCCATTCAGCTTAACATTCATTCCCTTGGCTTTCTGGCCTCAGGACCTTTGCTTATGCTGTTCTCTCCCTAGCCATCATCTTCTGCACAAATCCCTTCGGCCCTTCAATGACAAACTCAACTGTTATGAAATTTCAATGAAGCTTTATTTTGTTTTCCCTAGCTGAATATTATTTCTTCCTCCTTGGGATTTTCATGAAATATTGTTTAGTATTTCAGTTGATTTTGTTTGTCCTTTTCACAAATGTTTATTTCACAAATTGGGTCAGGCATATAAGCACAGTGCTACCCTGGTCAAAATGGTGGGCCAGACAGGCATGGTCTTTATCTCCAGGCAGCTGAAATCACAGGCAGGACAAAGCTGGTCAGGACAGGGGCCAAGGAATTAAGGAGTAGAGGACTCTCTCTCTCTCTCTCTCTCTCTCTCTCTCTCTCTCTCTCTCTTTCTGGGGACAGGGGTTGGGCTGACTTAATTTGAGAAGAATCAAGGACTGTGTCCCTGAGACATTATGTTTGGCAGCAAAGGAAAGAAAGATTTCAAGAAAGAGAAGGCTTATTGGAAGAAAGTAAATAGGCCAGCGAATCAGAGAGAGAGACTGTTGTGGGGAGGAGCAGGGGGAGACGCAGACAGAGGCCAGATCATGCAGAGCCTGAAAGCCAAGCCAGGGAATTTTTCTCTCTGTTAATGTACCTCTTTCATGTTTTATGATCCTTCCTCATCTTTTAGACTAATTTCTTTCAGCAAAATATTGTCTTCTTTTGGTCAAAGTTTAGGTCTTTCTTGACCTCTTCAGCTCTAGGCATCCTGTCAATATATGAGTTTCCTATGCTAAGTTTAACAAAAACAAATCTTTAGCAATTAGGAAACAATTAAGAAAGAAAGAATAAAACCACTGCTAGGACAATTATTGAATTACTAGAGGCCCAGTGCATGAAATTTGTGCATGGGAGTGGGAGAGGGGAGCAGTCCCCTCAGTTCAGCCTGCACCCTCACCAGTCTGGGACCCCTCGGACATCCCTCTCACAATCCTGGACCACTGGCTCCTAATTGCTCACCTACCTGCCTACCTGGTTGCCCCTAACTGCCCCCCATGCTGGCCTGGTTGCCCCTAACTGCTCTTAGCGTTTGGTGATGCAAAACCCAACAAGGGTTGTCTCGGTCCCCTTAGCCAATCTGGGCCATGACTCGGCATGCAGTCCATCGCAGCTGCCTCTGCAGCCTGGCACTCAGGGAAACCGACTCTGGTTCTTGTCTTGCAGAAAGAGCCTCTGGACGAGTCTGGGTGGATGATTAAAAATGTCCTTTCTATGCCTATTGTGAACAAGAAGGAAGAAATTGTTGGGGTGGCCACATTTTACAATCGCAAAGATGGGAAGCCCTTCGATGAAATGGACGAGACCCTCATGGAGGTATGGTCTGCAAGGAGGTCTTCTGCCATTGATATTCAGAGCTTCAGAGTCGCTGCCCCAAGTGTGGCCTCTGGGCCCTGTGATGGGAACCCCACTGTGCTGCTGCCCTATCTGTGGAGGGCGGAGAGCTCACCTGTCCATGCGGCTCTGACTTAACTTCCAGGTCTGCTTTCTTCGCTCTCCCTTCTGTACTGCCACATGTTATTAGAGAAACCCACATTCCCTTTTTTAAGAAAATCAATAAACTTTACCTTTAAGAGCAGCCTCAGGTTTATAGTAAAATTAAACAAGAGGTACAGAGCTCCCATCTACCCCCCACATACACACAACACATTCCCTTTTGTGGCATTATTATGCACAAGAATGAAGCTTTATGTATGTTAGTACTTTATTGAAAGTGAATTTCCATTACTTTATCCTCATAACATCTCTTTGTGGAGGGTTTATTAAACCCATTTTATAGCTGAGAAAATGGAGGCTTAGAGTCCTGCCCAAAGTTACAGAGGCAGGGTCAAACCTGGCTGTTCTGCCTCTCAGTTTTCCTTTTATTGTTTTTTCTTTCTTTCTCCAGTCTTTGGCTCAATTCCTAGGCTGGTCTGTCTTAAATCCTGATACCTATGAGTCCATGAACAAACTTGAATATAGGAAGGATATTTTCCAGGATATGGTAAAATATCATGTGAAGTGTGACAATGAAGAAATCCAGAAAATCCTGGTGGGTAAAGCTCCTTCTATCCATGTGGCCAGAGTGAGGGGGGACTGAAAACTCGGAGATGGGGGTGGGCTGAGATGGGCTTGCCAAAGACCCTCAAGTGAAATGGATGAATGGGTGGATCTACCAGTGCAGAGGGGAGTACATAATGGCTGCTGTGAGGCCTGGGGACAGCTGTTCCTTGCTGGGTCACTTCAATTTACTTTCAAGTATTAAAAAAATATTTTAAAAATATTTTTATTGATTTTAGAGAAGAAGGGAGAGGAATATAGAAACATCAGTGATAACAGAATCATTGATCAGCTGCCTCTTGCATGCCCCACACTGAGGATTGAGCCCCCAACACAGGCATGTGCCCTTGACTGGTATCAAATGGTGACCTCCTGGCTCATAGGTCAACACTCAACCACCCAACCATGCCAGCCATGCCAGTTAGTACTTTGACTCCATTTTACAGATGAGGAAATGGAGGATCAGAGGCATTCAGTAACACTGTTAGTAAGTAGCAGAGCTCAAATTTGAATGCCAGCTCCAAAGCCCACGACTCTGAATTTGCTTATCCATGAATGTTAAACAGCAGTCTTGCCCTAGCTGGTTTGGCTCAGTGGATAGAGCATTGACCTGCAGACTGAAAGGTCCCAGGTTTGATTCTGGTCAAGGGCACATGCCTGGGTTGCAAGATCAATCCTCAGTAGGGGGCATGCAGAAGGCAGCCGATCAATGATGCTCTATCATCATTGATGTTTCTCTCTCTCCCCCACTTCCTCTCTGGGGTGGGGGGGAATATATATATATATATATATATATATATATATATATATATATATATATTTTTTTTTTTTTTTTTTTTTTTTTTTTAAAGAACTTCCCCAAAACCAGCAGCCTCTCTGAGTTGGTGGTCCTCTTGCAAGGACTTCAGAGAAAGGAGAAAAATGAAAATGTAAAAGTGGAGGCATTTAGACCTTAGATGCAGTAACCTATTTTTTTCTCTCTGCTATTTTGGACAGAAAACCAGAGAGGTGTATGGGAAAGAGCCGTGGGAATGTGAGGAAGAGGAGCTGGCTGAGATCCTGGTGAGCACTGGCCCTCGGAACACAAGGTGTCCTCTGAGCGTGCCAGGGTGGGAGTGATGGGGGGGAGGATAGGAGAGGGGGGAGAAGGTTTGCAAAAAGTGACCCTTGTAACTCTGCTCTGATCCTCCCAGTAGACCTGGGACTGGGACAGGCCTGGGGGGAGACAGGGAAAGACACAGGAACACTTGATTTGTCCCAATCACTTGACTCTATCTATTCCTTCCATAGCAAGAAGAGCTGCCAGATGCAGAGAAATATGAAATTAATAAATTCCACTTCAGTGACCTGCCCCTGACAGAACTGGAGCTGGTGAAATGTGGGATACAGATGTATTATGAGCTCAAAGTGGTAGATAAATTTCATATTCCTCAAGAGGTAAGGTGAAATCTCTTTGATTTCCCTTTTTCTTGCTTCCTTGCTTTGAAAACTCAGTCTGGAAATGTAAACTTAATCTATTCTTAAAAAGAGTACACCTTTAGCTTTTGGGATTTAAAGTATTAGCCATGTTGCTAATACTTTACAGACGAGTCATTTATCCAAAATGAAACACACAGTTCCTCTGCATTTGGGGTGCATTGGCTTCTTGAGGTGGGTTCTCAGGCACTGAGTTCTGAAGGCTGTGAGTTCATGGGATGCAAAAAAAAAAAAAAATGGTCCTGTAGTCCAATGAGAGTGGGCAACATGGGTTAAATCCATTTAAGAAGGACTTTCCCGCTGCAGAATTCCTGTTGTAAAAGAAGGGTATGAAGATGGACAGAGAAGGTGAAGGTGGGAGTGTATTGTGTGCAGAATTTTCCAAATTCGTTGGATTCAAAGTATTACCCCAAGCAACATCAGCACAGCCTGAGAATGTATCAGAAAGGCAATCTCTCTCTTCCAGCTCTAGCGAATCAGAACTTGCATTTTAACAATCTCTCTGGGTGATTCTAGTAAGTTTGAAAGCCACTGATTTAAAGTCCTCCTTTGTTTTCCTTCCCTGCAAAATTCTTGTTAGCTTCTCCCAGGCCAGCAGCAATCTGGGGCATAGTTTGGGAATCAACGATGAAACCCAACTAGTGGAAAGAAACGGAGTGACTTCTATCCACCTGATTTCATAACGTCCATTCCCATAGTGCTTAGCGGTTGCAAAGGGCTCGCACAGCATTATCCATCAATGACTAGTTCCTACCTCCTGGGGAAGCAGGCGGGGCACCAGGGCAGTGGGGGAGGGGCGGTCCTCGCTGCCTCACTGATGTGTGTGTGTTCACAGGCGCTGGTGCGGTTCATGTACTCCCTGAGCAAGGGCTACCGCAGGATCACCTACCACAACTGGCGGCACGGCTTCAACGTGGGGCAGACCATGTTCTCCTTGCTGGTGGTATGGACATGGCCAACCTTTTGAAGTTCCACACAGCAGCAGCAGTGTTGTTGTCTGCTTCTATTTATTGCTTTTTAAGATTATGCAAAAGAGTACATGCCCAGCATAAATGAATTCCAAGATTATAGCCTCAGTCCAGTTATTTGGAGATAATCCTGACATAGCACCATCCAAATTTTCTACTGGAAGCCTCAAAACTTATTTGTATGTGTGCGCACGCGCGCGCGCACACACACACACACACACACACACACACACACACACACCTTATCCATATATATAAAAGCCTAATATGCTAATTGTCCCTCCGACTATTCATCCAGTCACTATGATGCATACTGACTCCCAGGGGGAAGATGCTTTGACTGGTAGGCTAGCTTGCTGCTTGGGTCTGGCCGATCAGGACTGGGCAAGATGGCCAGATATGCCCTGGAGCCTGGTGGGGTCCCTCGGCTGGCCTGCCCTCTCACAATGGTTTCACCTGATCCCCACAAGCCAGGCCAAGGGGCCCCACCCATGCAGGAATCTGTCCACTACGCCTCTAGTTTTGTTTATAATCAACTAGAGGCCTGGTGCACGAATTCATGCATGGATGGGGCCCCTCAGCCTGGCCAGCAATTGGGGCCGATTGGGGGTGGGGGGGTAAGGAGGTGCTGGAGGCTTGCCGATTGGGGGGAGGAACTGTGGGAGGTTGGCTTGCCAGGGGGAGGGACTGCAGGAGGTAGGCTGGCCATGGGAGGTTGGTTGTGGGAGCGCACTGACCACCAGGGGGCAGCTCATGTGTTGAGTGTGTGCTCTCTGGTGGTCAGTGTATATCATAGCAACTGGTTGTTTGGTCATTCTGTCACTTAGGCTTTCATATATATAGATTAAATACTATTATTCTATAATATTATTTTTTGTTTGAAAATAGATAATTATACCAATCACACTCTTTATATATTTTTATTATGGTAAAATATATATAATGGGAAATTATAATCATTTTTTTTGTTTGAAAATAGATAATTATACCAATCACACTCTTTATATATTTTTATTATGGTAAAATATATATAATGGGAAATTTTAATCATTTTTAGGCACTCTATTTAGTGGCATTAAGTACATTCACAATGTTGTACAGTCATCATTACTATCCATCTCTAGAACGTTTTCACATTCCACGTAGCTCCATGTTCCCCACAATCCTGAGCTCCTGGTGACTGCTATTCTACTTTCCATCTTTATGAATTTGAGTAGAATCAGGTTTATTTTGCTCAGTATACTATTTTCAAGGCTTATTCATGATATAATTGAATGGCTACAGAGAATCCTGTATTGTTTAAATATATATATATATATATATATATATATATATATATATATATATAATTTTTTTTTTTTTTTTTTTTTTTTTTTTTTTTTTTTTTTTTTTTTTTTTTTTACTCAGCACTAGTGTTGGACATGGGCTTTTTTGAGCTTTCCCCCCTTACAGACAATGCTACGGTGTCCTTGGGTGGCTAACGTGTGCTGGTGTTCCTCATTTATGACTCAGAGGATTCAGAGTGCTTTATATTTCATTTAAGTGCTTTCCCATGCAGATTATGATGCAAATCTCTGCCCCAGCTTCCTTGTTCTCATTCCTTTCTCAGGCCAGAGTAGGCACTGGAGCCTGGAGGCAGGAATTCTGGCCCTGTCACCAAATAAAGTGACAGAGACATGGCTTAGACTTGACTTATTTTTTTAGAGTCACAGAATCAGCATCACCTCTCCAGGTTCTTCCCCACTCTCTGCTCTGACACTCAATAAGAAGTTAAGTATTTGAGGGAGACTCATGGGAAGATTCCTGCGGGCTGTGCTTGAACCGGTAGACCAGGTTCGGATGGCCAGCTTTATCAGTCTGGCCATGTTCAAAACCCCTCCGAATCCTACAACCTTGAGGCTGCAACTTTCTCATCAGTCATTTGCCCAATGCCCTTCACCTCCGGTGTGCAAATTGGGATACTGAGGCCCAGAGAGAGATGGGACCAGCAAAGGTCGCTCAAGTTAGGGAGGGTGACCAGCTATCCCTATTTGCTTGGGACAGTTCCAGTTCCAGCATGGAAAATCTTACATCTCTGGCAAACATCTGGTCTCTCTGTGGCCACAGGGATGTTTCCAAGCCTGAGGCCCTCCGCTTGCCCTTTAGCCCTGCTTCCAATCTTATAAGACAGGAGTGAGTGGCACTTCTGATTGTCCTTCCAGACTGGAAAGCTGAAACGATACTTCACAGACCTGGAGGCCTTGGCCATGGTCACCGCTGCCTTCTGCCACGACATTGACCATAGAGGCACCAACAACCTCTACCAGATGAAGTGAGTCAGCCCTTCCCAGCCCCTCTCCCTACCCCAACTCCAGGAGTCATGCCCCAAGTCTGAACAGCTCCTAGACAGACTCACTGGCCAGGGGGTAAGTCCCGCTGTCCACACCTCCCCACTTCTTCCTGCCCTTTGGGTCTGGGTAAACTCCTGCAACAAACCAAATAAACGATCCCCAACCCAAATTTCCACGCCCAAATGCCTGGAGCCTGGGAATATGTTGCCCTAAATTCAAAAGGGACTTCAAAGCTATGATGAAGTGAAGGATCTTGAAATATAGGGATTATCCTGGATCATCTGAGTGGGTCCCATGTAATCAGAAGGGTCTTTATAAGAGGGAGGAGAAAAGTGAGAGAGGAGAGAAGATATTACCACTGCAGTCTTTGAAAGTGGGAGATAAGCTACAAAATCCAAGGAATATAGGCGGCCTTTAGAAGCTAGAAAAAGCAAGGAAATAAGTTCTCCCCTGGAGTCTCTAGGAAGAAAGGCAGTCTGCAGACCCATTTTAGACTCCGAACTGTAGAGCTGTAGATGATACATTTTTAGTTTAAAGCCACTGAGTTTGTCATCATTTGTTATAGCAGCAAAAGGAAACTAATACATTAAACTCCCTCACTGTCTTCCTTCCCTTCCTATCTACTGAACTAATTTAAGCCAAGAGGTTAGTAACTGATAGCCATTCATCCACCTTGTATTAATAATGCTCCTAATACAAGTGTCATAGGCCCTAAGCTAGGCAAAGGAGGTACATGCTGAACAAAACAGGCACAGTCCCTGTCTTCTCAGAGCTTATATTCCAGATAGACTCTGAAGCATAGTCCTTGAACCATGATCTTGGTGGATCCTCATGACCAACTTGTGGGCTGGGCAGAGCATGAATGTTATACCCATATTACAGATGAGGAACTGAGGCTCTGCCTAACGCCCATAACCTGTAAGTCATTAACAAGCACCAGAACATGCTCCTCTGAGACTTCTCAATACTTGCACGCTGCTCCACAGCCAGAGATTGGGGTTACATCTTATCTTGTGACAAGCTAAGTACTGAGGTCACTGCTTGACCCATAGTAAATACTGAATGAATATTTATTAAATGAAGGTGAGAAAAAAACATACAGAATCCGCTAAAGCAAGGACCAGGAGACCTGACGTCTAGCCCCAGCTCCCACTCTCACTGTCTGACAAACTCCTCTTATTCTGGGCTTAGCTTCTCTGCCTGTAGAATCAGGAGGTGGCAGGACTGGGTGACGTCTTTAACCTTCATCTCCACCATTCCATGTTGATTCTCTGTGTGTGTCTCTTTCTTTGCCATTCAGGTCCCAGAACCCACTGGCCAAGCTCCATGGCTCCTCCATCTTGGAAAGACACCACTTGGAGTTTGGAAAAACATTGCTGCGAGATGAGGTAGGAGGAGGGCCCTCTGCACAGGAGCTCCCACCTCCTATGAAGCCGCGTGTGGCCAGGCAGTGCTCTTCCCATTGGCCGGGGCTGCCTCTCCCATCATCCTGGGTGACCATCAGTAGTTGGGTGACTTTACCACTAGCATCACTTCTCACAACTCTCCTCTGATTTTCTCCTTAGGGCTTAAACATCTTCCAAAACCTCAATCGCAGGCAACATGAACATGCAATCCACATGATGGACATAGCCATCATAGCCACAGACCTCGCCCTGTATTTCAAGTTAGTATTTCTTCTCATTTTAAGAATAATAGCAATAGCATGCCGAGACCGGTTTGGCTCAATGGATAGAGCGTCGGCTTGGGGACTGAAGGGACCCGCGTTCGATTCCGGTCAAGGGCATATACCTTGGTTGCGGGCATATCCCCAGTAGGGGGTGTGCAAGAGGCAGCTGATCGATGATTCTCTCTCATTGATGTTTCTAACTATCTCTCTCCCTTTCTCTCTGTACAAAATCAATAAAATATTTTTTAAAAATTAAATAAAAGAATAATAGCAATGGCAATGATTATTACAATAAGAAACACCATAGCTCCAAGCGATTCATATGTACCGTGTGCCAGGCACAACCCTTGTGCTATGGACCACTACTTCTCACCACAGCTCCATGAGTTAGATACTATTGCTCCCATTGTACAGATGGAAAACTGAGATCCAGGGAAAGAGATTTGCTAAGATCAGATAACAAACAAGCCTGACAGAGTCTGGATTGGAAACCTAGGTCTTCACTCCCAGGCCCTGGTTCTTTTAACGTTGTTTTGTTAATCATGTTATTTTAAGAAGCCTCTTTCTGAAACAGCCGATGTTAGAAGCCCAGGCATGTCTTATTTTATGATTTACTCCATTAACAAATCGGTGTGTGTTATAGAAAGAGGACCATGTTCCAAAAGATCGTGGATCAATCGAAGACATTTGAAACGCAACAGGAGTGGACGCAGTACATGATGCTGGAACAGACGCGGAAAGAAATCGTTATGTGAGTTGAGTTGGGGCTTAAACCCTGATCCTCTTATCTCTGGGTCATAAGATGAGCTACTGAAGTGACAGGCCTTGCTGCCCTCAGAAGACCCCTGGGGCACTGTCCATTTTGAAGGCCTTCAGCATCTGGGGGAAAAATGAGGTTATTCCAAACCAGAATTGAAGAAACCGTGGCATATAATTAATCTTTTTTTTTTTTTGGCACTAAAATTCAAAACAATACAGTGTTATTTTATTCTCTGTATAAAAAAAGTATAATATTCGAAGTGTTTCTTTCATATAATTTGGAATTGGTGATAAAATTATAACTTTAACATTTTTTTTTTAACAAAACAGAGCATTGTGCTAATTATGATTTGAGTGATAACCATGTGTCACTCAAAACACGTGGCTTCATTTTAGTATTCCTTTCTATATGGCAACGTCCTGCAGCCTAGCTGCACTATTCATAAACGAGTCACCTGATTTATATAGAATGTATCGTGGCCTTGTTAGCAGGAGGGCTGGTAATGGGACTCAAATAGAAGTTTCCTGGTAAATACCTTCTTTCATGTCTCTCAATGTGTTCCCATGAGTCACCTCCTTGGATGATGGGGCGAGAAGCACCAATGAAAGGCTCTTTGTGAATACGTGGCCCAAGTCCCCTGGCTCCCCCGTAATGGGTCCTGGGTGCTGATGGTCAGCAGAGACCAGGCCTTCTCAAGGAAGTGTCAGGCTGATTGTTTATCTCCAGATGCTTCTGTAGAGATGAGGCTTGATTAAGTCACAAATGTAGCAACCTCTGCATCAGAGAAGGGGCAGCCCCTGGGACAGGCGCAGGGAAGAGGGGACAAGTGACAATTTGTCATTCCCTCAGCCCTGCAGTTGTCCCATCGGGCCTCCACAAGGGTCCCCTGAGTCTTGGGAGCTATGGGACCTGCTCCCATTGAGCAAGAGGCACATTCGGATCTCCGACCAGGGAGCAGCCTCACCTGACATTTCAAAATGGCGCAGCGAGAAGCAAACAAGTGGAAAGAACACCCTGTTCTTGGGTAGGGGGACTTTACACTAAATGTTGTCTATGCTCCTCAATTCAGTATTCATGTAAGGTCATCTCAAGGGGAATGTCTACTTCATTTTTGGGGATAATTGATAGAATTAAAAAGAATAATTTCAGAGTAAGTGTTTCTAAGTGAGACATAAAATTCGAAAGTCGTAAGTTGACTTGTAAATGTGACTACCTAAAAATTAGGGATTTCTACACAACACACACAGGAATGCATAGCTGAAGTCAGAATGCAAGTGACAACCTGGGGAAGAATATCTGCAGCACTTCTGAGAAAAAGAGTGAGAAAAAGAGAGATCTAATTTCTTAGTAAATAGAGTGTCAATACAATCCAAGAAAAAGACTAATCCAATACAAAACTGAGCAAAAGGCATGAATAGTTATTTCCCAGAAAAGAATTACAGAGGAGTGTAAACATGTGAAAAGAAGACTACTCATATGAAAAGAAATGCAAAATCAAATTACCCTGAGATATAATTATCATTTACACTCCTCCAGGCAAAGATTAAACCATTTGGTAGCACATGGCGGCTGGGCAGAAAGAGTGGCAACAGGCAATCTCACTCACTGCTGAGAATACACATGGGCACAGCCTTTACTGTGGGCAACACCCCCAATGATTGTAAATACTCTTAGACCCTGCAATCCACACCTAGGATTTACCCTGTGGTTATCCTCCCACCTGTGTGCCACGGAGTGTGTACAAAGTTGTTCATTTCAGCATTATTTGTAATCACCCAAAAAAAGATGGAAAGCAACTTAAATATCCATGTAGGGCCACAAAAAGTCAGCTAGATATTTTGCCAGCAAATAGGTTGACTCAGGAATAACAAAAAATTGCAATACAGAACAAGCAACCATGGCATACAAGTCTGCTGAAACAAAGAGGAAACTATACTGAGTGGCCAGATTATTATGATCTCTGAACGCATAATAATGTGGCCACTCAGTGTATATCCTATATAATAAAAGGCTAATATGTAAATTGTCCCCTCTACCAGGAGTTCAACCAGCAGGCAGGCCAGCCAACTGCCCATGTCCCCTCCCCCTGGTCAGGCTGGCTGGATCCCACTTGTGCACAAATTCATGCACCTGGTCTCTAAATATATATTAGAAACACACACACACACACTGAGTGGCCAGATTATTATGCATTCAGAGATCAGAATAATCTGGCCACTCAGTGTATTTTATAGAGGGAAAGAGGAAGTCGGGAGGACTACCATAAACAGAGAGCTCCCTGTTATGCTTTGAGGTCTATGTAGGGCATGAGAGCTCCTCCTTCTGGCCTCCCTAGTACATTTTTATTGTTTGTTTTGTTGATCCTCACCTGAGGATATATTTTCCCATTGATTTTTAGAGAAAGTAGAAGTGGAGGGCGGGAGAAAGGGAGGGAGGGGGGGAGGGAGGGAGGGAGGGAGAGAGAGAGAGAGAGAGAGAAAGAAACATGTATTGGTTGCCTCCTGCATGTGCCCCAAGACCAGGGCTGGGGATTGAACCTGCAACCCAGGTATGTGCCTTGACGGGGAATGGAACCTGTGACCCTTCGGTGCACAGATAGGTGCTCTAACCACTGCTCAGGGCCCCACTACATTTTAAATGAAGTTTCTGTTTGCTAATTTTTTGCAAATACCTATGCTACTTTTCACACAATGGAATGCCATACAGCCTTTACCAAAAAAAAAAAAAAAAAAAAAAAAAAAAAAAGGATAGGAAGGATTTCCAAAATACAATTTTTTCAAAAAGGAAAAGGCCAGACTTCAACCACTGAAACAGCCCAAGTAGTGTTAGTAGACTTCAGACTGAGGCACACAACCCCCTCCCGCTACCTCCCCAATCCAAAGGCTTGCGAGATGGGTAGCGGTGTGGTTGGCCTCGCAGGAATCAGTGTTTCTTCCTAAGAAAGCACAGTGGGTGAGGCATTGTCAGTTCCCTCACTCCTCTCCCACTTAACAAAATAAAGGCAAACTTGCCCTTTCTCGAATCTTCCTACGGAGCAAAGACCTCTGTGCCATCAAACAGGGGAACTATTGTATTTGAAAGACTCGAAAACAAGGCATTATTAACCCAAGGAAGGGCTTCAGGCCTTCCCCGACTTATATATATATTTTGTGTTAAAAGCAAAACAAGGCATTAGCAAAAGAGAATGTGGATTGAACAGCGGAGCAGCAGGAGCTGAGACATTGTACAAACTTCCTTCCTTCAGTGAAGGTACCACTGTCAGGGACGGCCCCTGATATCGGGACAAAGATGCCCCAATAATAAGTACTGAAGGTCACTGCACTTGATTTCATCCACATCACTATTGTCTGTCTACCTATCTATTTATCTATCTACCTATCTATCTAGTCTCCCTGCACATCTATCTACTTGGACCTTTCTTAAAATTAAGAATGAAAAGATAAGGTAGATATGATCAGGATACATTCTGGCATGCTTATTTGAGTTGAAAAATAAAATCAGATTCTTTCTGACAGAAACAAGTCTGATTCACTTGCTTTCATTGACCGTAAAAGACTGGCATTTCCAATTATGTTTATCCCACAATTAAATGAGTCAAGTCTGAGCAAACATTTCCACAAATTAAATGAGTTAAATCTGCAGCTTCAGCTTGGCTGTGGTGGTTCAGCGGTTGAGTGTAGACCTATGAACCAGGAGGTCATGGTTCAATTCCCAGTCAGGGCACTGGCCCAGGGAGTGGGCTTGATCCCCAGTGTGGGTTTTGCAGGAAGCAGCCGACCAATGATTCTCTCTAATCATTGATGTTTCTATCTCTCTCTCTCTCCCTTCCTCTCATAATCAATAAAAAAATATTTAAAAAAATATTTGTAGCTTCAAAGTTTTGATGAAATAGTTAAAAATTGTTATTCGATACAAGCACTTTATAAAAAATTTAACACTGGGAGCAATAACTTATAATGTTTTAATAGACTTAACCCAGTCTGAGTATCTTGGATTACCGAAGTGCTACAGAGAAACTGTGAGGGGTGTAAGTCACAGTCATGTGACGAGTCTCAGTCAAATCTTTATGGCATACTTCCCAGAAATTGAGGAAGTGAATGATCATAATGTTAGCTTTAAGCAAAACTGAAGGAGACTCTCGCTGAGTCACCAGCGGATTGACCATTCAGAATAATGATTACAATATGATTGTTAACCGTTAATTTGAAAGAATTCAAAGAATTGGGTGACAGTGTTTTAACAAAACCCCATCCATTCCCAAGGTTTCTAATTACCTGCATCTATACAAATTGAAAAATGGGCCCTGTCAGGTTTGGCTTAGTGGAAAGAGTTTCGGCCTGTGGACTGAAAGGTCCCAGGTTCAATTCCGGTCAAGGGCATGTACCTTGGTTGCAGGCACATCCCCAGTAGGAGGCAGCTGATCGATGTTTCTCTCTCATTGATGCTTCTAACTCTCTATCTCTAACCCTTCCTCTCTGTAAAAAAAAAATCAATATTTTTTTTAAATGGCATAAAATAGCTGTTAAATCCTATCTCAACCTAACAATAAGAAATATTCATTCATTAACTGGTTTGTTAAAAAATTGTCCCATCCTGTCTCAGTAAGAGATAAATCTCCAAAAACATTTACTTGGAGTGTTTGGTAATTATTTCTAAAAATAGGCAACATGTATATTTTATTGTGTGAAAGTAATAAATAACTTAATCTAAAAGAAAAAATTTGCCAAAACCGGTTTGGCTCAGTGGTAGAGCGTCGGTCTGCAGACTGAAAGGTCCCGGGTTCGATTCTGGTCAGGGGCATGTACCTTGGTTGCGGGCACATCCCCAGTAGGGGGTGTGGAAGAGGCAGCTGGTCGATGTTTCTCTCTCATTGACGTTTCTAGCTCTCTATCTCTCTCCCTTCCTCCTCTCTGTAAAATATCAATAAAATATATATATTTTTAAAAAACCTCCTTTAAAAAAGAAAAGAAAAGAAAAAATTTCAACACTTG